TAGATAATTACCATATGATCTGGCTATATTACCTTTGGTTCAAATCAGTGTTTTTCTAGAGTTTGGAATATCCTTGAAATCTGAATCACATAAATAGAATTTTAAAGTGACCTCACTCCATCTGTAATAATTATTTGGGAAACTTTAGACTCTCTTCATTTTATTAACTTGAAAAAGAAATGCTTACTACCCATATACAGGATTTCTAACGATGATGTTAACTATACAGCTGCTAATTCCTTTTCTGATCAATTTTTCAAAATAGCAAATTGGTGTTGGATTTAGTTGCAGTTGCTTGACTTACATATGTGTGTATGTATTTCTAAGGAGTTATGAGAAACATAAAGATTCAAAGTAAGAATTGAAACTTAATAATGGTAATAACTGTGGGAACCATACAAATGAAGATACAACTATTTTCATCTTTCTTTATGTGAAGACTCCTAAGGTTGATCATGTAGAATTTGATGATACACTATTAGGCGATCTCAGCCAGGGTAGTGGTGTTTGGGAGTGCTGGGACATGTTTTTTGGTCGTCACTGTAACTGGGGATAGATTTAGTGCCCAGAAACAATCTCACTCAGCAGAGAATTCCATCCAAAATACCAATAGCATTGTCTCCTCATGCTTGGAGATCCTGGCACTTGTAGAGTCCACATTTAATTTTTCCCCTAACAAAATTACCCAAGTCAAAAGATGCACTTTCAGAATTACAACTACTACACAAACTGAATTTTGTAGGTTTGTGGCATTTGTTGTAAATCATCACTTGTGGAAATGGTTTTTCCCCTTTAAGTATGCTGCTGGAAACTTTGTCAAACAGTTAAACTTGCCCCCGGGGCAGAGTGTCACTCTCCTGTTGACTAAATCCACAATAAACATAGAAGGAAAGCATCATTGCGAGAGCTACAACACTGCAAAGTAGTCAGGTTTATTTAAAGGACCTTTTTCCTAACCCTTTCCCCTTTTTTTTTGAAAAATCCTATTTTACTATTTTGCATAAATAACCAATGGGACTAGGTCGAAGGCACATAGCATGTTTGTTTTCGATGCTCTGAAACTGTTGAAGGCTGGTTTTAAGTCTGTGATTTTTGACATGCAGTAGCCCTGTGAGATTTGTAGGCAGAGATATTCAGCCTTGATCCCCATCATAATCAAGGATTTGGGAGGTAGGGGAAGCTTGGGAGAGCTCCTGACTGACTTCCCCTAACACTATGATGTACATGACTATTTAGACTTTTCATTGAGCAGTAAGAAATTTATGAAAGATAATTTTGAAACTTTTTCTGAGTTAAATATTGATAACTTTTTTTTTTGATTCTTGATACACTAGATTTGTTGCAGCTTTTTTGAAACTAACGGTTTCACCATACCACCTATATAATAGAGCATGATTTTTCTATAATCAGGCACCTTTTGCTGGTTCTGATTAAGACTGATTTCCTGTTTAGATTTTAAGCATTGCCAAAGAGAAGAATCTGTTCTATTCTTTTGATTATAGCACAGCCTGATAGCTCTAGATGCGGCATTTCTGTGATAAAATATGAGCGTCTACCAGGAAATCTGGAGGACTAGCCACGCTTCCTCTGATTCCTACTTAGTTTGCACTCTACTGCCTGCGAGCTTCCTGGCATGTGATTATTTACTTCAAAACTAGAATTTTAAGCACCTACATTAATTATTTTATATCGTGTGCAGAGTAGTATATCTTTTCATGTCAGATACAATGCACTGCACATAATGCTTTTGCACTGTTAAAATTTTTGTACTAAATAATAGAAAATATTTATATTCTTTGAGTGTGAGCTTTGAATAGATGGCATTATCACTTTACTGTTTTTTTTTTTAACAAAACCTTTTTCTCAGTTATAATATTGCAATGTTATTCTGAGCAAGCCCAATGCCAAATACCTTGTATAATGTTTGTATGGAATATTAAATTTTTCTCTCGTGTGGTAAAGACTACTCAGTTATTGACTTCATTGGAATTTGATATTCCAGCACAAAGTCCACAATGTATTCAGAAATCCAGGTTGGTGTCATACATTTTGTTTTGATGTGAACTTTTCTTTGCTTTCCTTTGTTCTAAGACTCCATTTTGCAATAAACGTTTTGACAGTAAATCCCATTGTTATGTGTTGCTGTGTGTATTGGATGCTAGCTTGGATTCCCAACATGCTTTGAAGGACTCATTGTCAAGTGTGTACACGTGAGCGTGAGCTTTTCTCACCTGAAATCAATGGGAGTGTAAATAATGAATTTGTGAAGTGATGGCACAGTCGGGCAGTCACAAGGTGGGGCTGTGTTTTTTTTTTTTTTACTCCAAAGAAGGGCAGAGAGACTTAGGACTCACCCTAAGTAGACACATTGATTTCTTAACAAGGTACACAAGGCATAAAGGGAACAGTAAGCCACTGTGTGACTGGAGATCATTAACTTTTACCCCCTGACTGGCCAGATTCAAACTGTCTGGAAGCCTGGCTCCAGCCTTCCCCCCCACTGATCTTTGTGGGCTTGGTACAAAAATCCTGCTGGAGCAAATGCCACCCCCAAGCCAGCGCCTTTCCCTCGGCGATATCGTCATGAGCTGCGCTGAGAGCCAAGAGAATTCTTCTCCTTTTTACATAAAAACCAGAGATGGTGGTTTTGATTAGTTGTTTCACTTCCAACCTTTATTCTGTCTAAGAAATACTTATCAATTTTGTTTAGCACATTTGGGAATCGTATACAAATCAAAACACTACGCATCCCCCCTACTCGCTATAAAAGCCAGCATTGACTCAGGGAAATATTTCTGTAACTCAGTTTGTTGTTTCTTGAACTAATCAAAAAAGTTCCTTATTTCACATTTGTTTCCATGATGGGAAAGGGAATGACATGTTTCTGCAGCTGTATCCAGCTGCCCTGTGAAGAAATAAAAACTTGTCATGAATTTCCTTTGATCAGTTCAGTTTTAGAATCTATCCCACAAGTCATTTTCCTTTCTGCATTATTAAAGCAGGTAAGTACCTTTGATGATTTCTACCTACATCAAGTATTCCAGAGGAGGGAAGGGGCAATTTGGAGGGACTCAGGACACTTGGGGGTAGCAGGGTATATAGAGTAGTAGCTTCCTATGCCCTTGCAAATTACCTTTATTAATATGCATACACAACACATGCATATTTATTGTAACCACTGGGATTTTTTTTAAAACTGTGCTTGGTCCCCAGTGTTGGCTTCATGCACATACAGATCAGGTGCTCCCATTAAGCAGACATGTCCAGCACATCTTCCCTCACCGTGAATCTGTCCACCTCGCCCCAGTTGTTGGCCTTGTTGCTTCTTCTCATCTGTAATCACCTCTCTTCTCCTTGTTCTTCAGTGCCCAGCTCAAGCCATTATGCCTCCATTCTCCCATCTCAGTCTATGAACCCCATCTTTTCCCTGGCATACCCGTAGACATTGAACTCCATACCAGAGAATTAGTTCCATTCAACTTTATTCACTCAACAAACTATACAATAGGCATTGTATGCTAAACATTCTTCTTGGCATTGAGTAAACCAAGATGAGGGTAGCCTTGAACTCTGCCATATGTAAGCCATATATTTTTAATTTAATCATTAAATTAAAAGTTCATTGAGGGCAGGGGTGTGCCTTTCCTAACAGAGTTTTGAGCATGTGAGTCACAACACCTACAGATTAGAAGGATTAATCAACACCCCCCACTGTTTACACTAATAGTAAGTGCAACCAAATTCAATTTCCTTTGTGTAAATTCGCCCACAAAAGTTATTATTTGTCACAGAGGTTGGATGACCCCTTGCCATGTTCTCTCAAGAACAAGCCAACCATTTAAGGTAGTAAATGCTAATGACTATACCACATTCTTAATTCCACTCACAGAACACTGATTTTCTTTTTTCCTTCAAATAATGTAGGCCATTATTAGATAGGCCTGGGCATCTACTGAAGTGAGTGGCTCTGGCTTTGTCAATGGTGCAGGCTGAAGTCATTAAGTCACCTCTCATGGTTGTGCACCTGACCAAGAGGGAGGTCAGTCTAGTTTTAGTTTGAACAGCTGTGCAACCTGGGTTTCTGTCCTTCATCCCTGAATCCTGTTTGGTCTTAAAAATATAATGCAAGGTTAGGCCTCCCTGGTGGCATAGGGGTTAAAGTCTCAGTGCTATCAAGCTATCTCCAGTCACTGTGGCTTGAGTTCTATCCCTGGCCAGGGAGCTAACCCACATGGCACAGCAGATACTTCCTGTCTCGCCTGCTGCTCCCCTCATCAGTGTATTTCAGTAGGCCCATCTGTGCTGCTCCCCACTCTGTCTCTGGTGAATCCTCCTACCACCTTCTCCCTCTGGCCTTGTCCCCAGTTCTTGTATGCATAAGTAAATAAAAAATAAATCTTAAGAAAATATATAATGCAATATAAAAATTAAAAAATATATATGGTTATTTTTAACAGAGAAATGTTTAAATGTCTCATATATATGATGCAAGAGAGACATTTAGTTAAACATGTAGACATTTCCTTGTTAAAATAACCATAAAACTTTTCTGGTTACCAAGTGGTTGCTTTGGAATTTTCATCAATAATCAAGCAATCCTCATGTTGATTGAGAATTCTGAAGATGGCTCTGGTATCTGACAAATGTCAGAAATTCCTTGTCTGCCATGGCCCTAATGTAGGTGCAAAACTACTGTGTGTACCAAGTGCCAGAAGAAGAAGCCCCCAAGATGTACGAAGCCACTGCAGCAGCTCACCAAGGACAGCGAGCTATTACTGAGAGACTGATGCACAAGACTGGCTTCTCTGGGCCATGTCCTTGGGACACAGAGCACTTCCTCTTAAGGTCAGGAGAGTTGCTTTACATTCAGCTTAACCATCAGGCAGAACCAAATCAAGGCAGCAGCCAACACCTAGTGAGACAAAGGGATAAACCAAAAGAAGACAATGGTGTTATTACCTTTTTTTTTTTTTTTCATTTCATTCATGTTTTCCACGCAGCTGCTGCCTTCCTTTGAGATCGGCGCGTGGACCGAAGAGGACGTGGTAAGCTGCTTCTGTTAAGCCTCATTTGACCTGGGCAGGTATTTGCTAAATGTGTCCACAAGTTTTCAATGCAGCTTAAGGTCTTTAGCCCTTTGAAAGTCTTAACTGGGAGACGTTGACATACTCCATGGCATTCTATTTTTAGTGCAGTAATGATTTAAAATAAGGTCTCCAGGACAGAGCAAATCTCTTCACATCTCATTCCACCACCTTATTTGCTCTAAAAGGTATTCCAGGAAACAAAAATGAATTGCGGTTATAAAATTAAAGGGGTGAACCGGAATATCTGAAGAACATACTTGGAAAAAAAATTGATCTTCAGTTTTCCTTAAATTCCAGAGATGGACCTGAGCTGTGGTGGAAAAGAGCTGGTTCAGCAGTGCAAAACTGGGATTCCTCAAACTTTCTTTCCTGCCTTTGGCCTGTTCAAAAGTGCAGTTTCATATCCACCACCTGCACTGGTTTTCCTCAGAAGGAAGGAACAGAGCTCTCAGGCAGGCTTTGAGCTGAAGCCAAAGAAGGTTACAGTTTTTGAGAGAATTCAGACAGACTCTGTTTCATGGAAGTCCTAATCTTACACCCTGGGAGGAGAACTTGAGGGGCACTCCTACTTAGCATCTCTGTTTTCTTAGTGAAAAACAGGTGTGGGAATTCTTGATCAGAAAACCTGGGGACTTATTATGTCTATCCAAGTCCATTTTTTTGGCTCAGGGTATTATTAAATGTAAAAAAAAAAGATAAAGCTGTAATGTCAGCCTTAGCAGGTCCCCAGGAACAGACCAGGTGCCTCAAAATACAAACTCACTACTAGAACCTCAGAAGGTCTGTTTACCTAACTCAACGGGTTTCTGAATTGGGGTCTTTCCCTCCCTGGCCCTTGTACTCTGCTGAAGGAAAACTGCTTTCAGTATGAGCTAACGTCTTAGGCTTCCACAGGGAAAGGAAACTTGGCCCGTGTTGCCTCTACTTCTTCCATTCACTTCACTCTGGTGAGTCTGAGTTTCCTGCCAGCCCTGCTTAATAAGGAAAGAGGACTTAGGATCTCCTTTATTCACAGGCCTGGATATCCCTTTATCTCCAGCTGCAAAGTTAACCCATCTCATATGAGAAGACACTTTTTAAAGGCACTGAACTCTTTTTTTTTTTTTTTTTGGTGGGACCCTCGCTGGCGGCCGGGGAATAAACCAGCTCTGCACAGGCTGAGGGCAGCCTCGCAGCCCAGTGCTCAACCACTGCGCCACCAGGGGAGGCCCAAAGGCACTGAACTCTTAACAGCTATTTTTAGTCATTGCTCTGTGGTTGAGTAGGTTTGAAGCCATTTTAATAAAACTCCAGGGTCAAGGACTCCCCAGAGAATTGGTGGGCTGGGTTTAGCCTCCCTTCTACCTCCCTTTGCCCAGGTAACGGGAGAGGCGATCATTAAACATGTATGAAGTGAAATTCCAAGGCTGAGTGTCACTAGGTCCACCCTCATGCTATTCAGAAAGCTCCATGCTTCCGCCTATCTCACACCGGCCTAGACCAGAGGACATATCATCCCTATTCCTCTCTCCACGACTGTGTGGTCCCTGTTCCTCATACTTTTCCTGGGTTAACCAGTGCCCCTCAACAACTCAGGGAACCATAGGCACTTTTGCAGAAAAGCATTAAAAGTAGAACTTTCTTGAAAAGATTTTTTTAGTTTCTCCTAAATAAGGAGGAACATTAACAGTCCCTCATGTGTCCAAGAACCCCAAAGAGGAAGATTTCCCCAGTATGAAAGCTTGAAGATTTAAAGCTATAAAAAAGAAAAGCTTATATTTTACCTTTGGGGTTGCGCCAGGAGTGAAAGATATTTTCATCTGTTGAAGATTTTGTGTTCTGTTGTTAAGTCTGGCCACTGACCATGTATGACTCTTCAAAACCACATATGTCCTCTCTTTCACAGTATTTTTGGGTTCAGCAACTCGTCAGAAAAGGCAAGTAAAATAGCTTACCTTCTTAATTCATGGAGTTAACTTTGTTTTGGACATGATTTAGTCTAAGTTTATTCTGCTTTCCAATCACCTCAGGTGACTCCTCAGCAGAGATGAGCATCTACGCAAGCTTGTTTAAGGAAAACAACATTACAGGAAAGCGACTGCTTCTTCTGGAGGAAGAAGATTTGAAAGACATGGGCATTGTCTCCAAGGGGCATATCATCCATTTAAAGGTAACTTCAAAGGGGGAACCTTCAGTTAACACATCTTTATTGAGCACATACTAAGTTGCAGACCACGTGATATGTCTGAGGCTGAGGATAGGAACTGACTCCCTGATGGTTATGGAGATTATGAGGAGCAGTGGTCCTAGTTAATAATTAGCTGCTGCCCCCACAGGACCCCTACTCCTCATAATCTTCATAATTCAACAGCAAAGGGGTTATTACCTGACACAGAAGTCACCTGGATATACCTGAATACCCTCCCCATGCCCTCAGAAAGTCTCTGGTCAAATGACAGCTCTAAGATGTGCCACAAAGGAGAGGTGGGTTTGGGATGAGGAAAGGCTTCTGTGAGGAGGTTATGATAGGAGTTGAGAGCTGAAGGACACGGCTGCAAAGGGAAAGAGGGGTTCCAGCAGAAGGCCTTGGTGTAAGAGACAGTGTAGTGTGCCAGAGGGCCTGGAAGTAAGCCAGACTGGCACCTGGAGAGGTGCCACCCGCCCAGGAATAGCAGGAGGTGACATGTCCACTAGGAGTCCCTAAGGACAATGACTGCCCATGGCTTGAGTGTAACCTAAGCCACAGCAGTACTTAAAATCAAGAGAATATGTGTTGAACTTGCTGTCTTCGGTACTTTGACTAGGAACAGCTACTGCCATCTGGTTCCTCTAATCCCTCATTTTTCCAGGAAATCTAACACTTCCGCCAAAACTTCTGTCTGTCAGAGTTTCAAAGCTAAACCTGTTTTCATTGTTGCACTAGTATTATTGCTTTTTGCTTTTGTAGTTTAGCAATGAGGACTGCTTTTTTGTTTGTTTTTTAATTAACCAAGCCAAATAAGAATTGCTGGCATATGTGTGGACATTTTATTAGACAGAGGTCTGTTTCAAAAGAGATCTTAGGATAAAATTAAGTTTGTTCACCAAACCATTTCAAACCCAGTATTGGTGGAGAGAGAGGCAGGCTCAGGTTAGAAAAGAAATAGAAAAAAAAGGAAATCTAGGGCCTCCCTGGTGGCGCAGCGTTTGAGCGCTGGGTTGTGAAGCTGCCGGCGACCTCTGCGGCGCCGGTTCGATCCCCGGCTGCTCCCCGGCCACCAGAGGAGGGTCCCACATGGCGCGCAGACCTCTCCTGCCGCCCGCTGCTCCCCTCAGCAGTGTACTTCGGTCCTTCTGCCTGCTCTGCTCCCCGCTCTGGCTCTGGTGAATTCTCTCACCCTCCCGCGCTTCTGACTGTACCCAGTGCATGTATAAACAAAACAAACAAACAAACAAATAAATTAAAAAAAAAAAAAAAACATAAAAAAAAAAGGAAATCTATAAAAAGCAGCTTCCTTTCCAACTTCTCACCTTTCTAAAGGCTCTAGCAAGATGCCAACTTCTTTTCCCCTTTACACAGTTGCAGCTACCAACATTGATTTTTCTAAAGAAGTCCCCACTGAGAGCCAAAGCAAACCCATCCAAGTCCATCCTATGGATCTTGAATCCATGTAAGGAAACTCCTCACAGCCCTCTGCACCCCTTCACCCACCAGAGGCCATCGCCAATGACAAAATTTAGGTCCTCAATTTTTTTTCCTTCTCATAAGATGGCCAGAAACCTCATCTGAAAGGCTGACAAAGAATTTTTTTTTTTAATTTTATTTATGCACATAAGAGCTGGGGTACAGGCCAGATATGCGGGGAGTGAGAGGATTCACCAGAGACAGAGTGGGGAACAGAACAGGCAGACTGACTGAAATACACTGCTGAGGGCAGCAGGGAGAGAGACAGGAGAGGTCTGCTACACCATGTGGGTTGCTCCCTGGCCTGCTGGGGATCTAAGAGGCTGCGGATTGCTTCATAGTGCAGTGCTTAACCCCTTTTGCAACCAGGGAGGCCCTGACAAAGAATTTAAACTCAATCCCTGGGAGTGCCAAGTCCATCCTGGAAAGCTAGGCTGGTTAGATGGGCAACAGTAGAAGAAATTATTATCTCTAGAACAGAGAAGTCTTGGGGTTCCAAGACAGAAATTTGGTCAATCTTTTCTATTTTGCAGGTGCCAACCAAGATGCTGCCCCCTCCCCACTCTGCTGTCTTTGGGAAAGGGTCAGGAACAATCAGGAGGAAAAGGGGTGGACAGTGTGCTAGCTCACGAAAAGCCATGGTGCCTGAAATATGCCCGTCTTGGCTGAGGACAGTTCGAGTGCCCCTCCATGCTGCTTGTAGTCAAGCAAGCAACACCCAAACTTAGTGATGTTCAGCAAATTCAGTGAATGTCTACCGCTCACCCAGCTGGCCTGTGAACAGAGAATCCTGCCCTCCCAGAATTTACATCTCAGGGAAGAGATAAAATATGGACATACAACTTCACATTATGGTCTTAACAGTTGAGAGAAAGTGAGTGAGTTCTTCCCTCTGCTCAGGACAGGCAGTGTGGGAGAAGCAGAGGGGAGACCTGGTGGTCCTGGAGGTGGAGCTTGGAGCCAGGGCAGAATTTGGAATGTAGAGGCAGGAGTGGGGAAGGAAAGAGCATTAATCTAGAAAGAGAAGGAGTTAAGCAAGAGAGAAACAAAAGAGAATATAAAGAAACATATTAAAAGTTGGTTCTGATAAGGCAACAGTGAGCAGCTGTCTGAGGGGAGCACAGAGGGAACAGAGCTCCTGGGACAAGAAGTGGGGGATGCTGGAGCCAGACCCCAGACAGCCCACCCCAGGCCAGGGATGTGGAATTTGACCAGCTGTGGGGAGCACTGGAAGTTTTGACAATTCACTAAAACTTGGCTGGGGATGTTGCAAAGTAGATTAGGATGGAGGGGTTGGATTTTGAAAGATCAGTTCTGAGATTCTAATACAGAGTCCTGACACCTTACTAGTCCAGTGAAAATCTGAATGGAAAAGCGGGGTTTGCGGGGAGGGGGTGGATACCACGGGTCAGAGAGCTGCTCCAGAAGGAAAGTTTAGTGAAACATGGATATCTGCTGACTGAAAGGGGACCTCAGGGCAGTGGAGAGGAGAGAGAAGTAAGACGCAGAGCTCACATACGGCATATTTACATTTACAGGGCAAATCGATTCTGGAGGAAAGTAGAAACAGACCAAAAGTAGATTACTGGTTCACAGGGCTGAGGGAGGTTGGGACAGAAACTGACTGCTAATGGAGACCCGGGCCCCTTTGGGGGTGATTAAAAAGTTTTGGAACTAGAAGAGAGGTAGCGGTTGCACAACTCTGTGGATGGCTAAATGCCTCTGAATTGCACACTTAAAAATGGTTCATTTCATGGCACGTGAATTTCATCTTAAAAAGAAGGAAAACCCAGCGATGTGTGCATGCCTGACCAGGAAGAGGCTTCTTGCAGCTGGGAAGCTTTCTCTTTGATGGATGCTGTGCCTTCAGAAAGGATAAGTGTGACAAAGGGCAAAGGAAACTGAGCAGGAGAGAGAGGAGAGGAAGCGTCTGTCCTAGGAAATCAGAAAAGGAGAAGAGTATGGTGTCTCAGAAAACAAAGGCTGAAATTGCTGTATGAAATAGAATGTGGGGACCTCCCTGGTAGTGCAGGGGTTAAAGTCTCAGTGCTCTCAAGCTGTCCATGAGTTCAATCCCTGGCCGGGGAGCTGACCCACACAGAGCAGCAGACCTCTCCTGTCTCTCCCGCTGCTCCCCTCAGCAGTGTGTTTCAGTTAATCTGCCCGTTCTGCTCCCCGCTCTGTCTCTGGTGAATCCTCTCACCACCACCACCACCACCCCCTGCCCCCCGCGCCTCTGGCCTAGGTTCTTGTATGCATAAATAAAAATAAATATTTAAAATAAATTAAATAAATAAACAAATAGGATGTTGCAGAGAAGCTAAGCGACACATGCACAGGGCAGACCCCTGCTGGAAGCAGGTGGTTGGGGTGCGGTCAGTGCCACATCGGGATTCCCTGATGCAGCACATCTCCCCTGAGCCACAAAGAGGGAGGGGGCAGCATCTGTGTGGGACCCCAGACATCCTGCATGAGTCTGTGTGTGTACATAAAGGCAGCTGGTTCCCAGAAGAGTAAATCTACCAAGTCAGGCATGTGGGCCCTCCACCTTACTGCCCCAGCCAGGGGTACCGGGCCAACACTCTGCACGCCCTCAGCTCAGCAGTGAGATGCGTGTTTCTGAAAAATAAGTTGGCCGGAGAAAGATTAAAGGGTCATGGAACTTGCTCTGGGAGGGTCCTGCATACATGCTGGGGGCCACAAGGAGAATAAGGCTTCGAGCTGGGCCTCTCAGGGTGGGACACACGGTAAGGACCTGTCAGAGCCTCCTACACACACAGCTGAGAACTGGCCGCCTCTCTCTGCTCTTTCTCTCGGGAAGACATGAGCATGGGGGATGCCCTCCTCGGAGAGTCTCTCAGCCCCTAAATGGCTAGGTCATAGGCCTGTCAGCCGGCACAGCCTCTCCAGCTCTCCTGTCCCTGTTGGCCTGGCTTGGCCGCCTTCTCCCGCCCCTGGAGGCCCCCATGCAGAGGCGCCGCACTCAACAGCCAATAAGTGTTCATTACGTTGTCAAATGTCAACAGCTTGCATTTCACTTTTTTAAAATGCATCTAATTTTTCTCACCTTGGCACTTTTTTATTCTCTACGTGATATGTTCAGTTCACAGAAAAGCTGAATTATAACTGATGAGTATTTTAAAAAATATAATTTAAATTGTCCTCCTTTCGGTTCAGAGTTCTTTGTGCTCCACGGGAAAAGGGAGGGTCGGACACCAAACCACGGAAAAGCGCTTGCAAGCCAACACCCCCTTGAGTGAGATTTCAGCCTTAAGGAAAGTCTCTGGTGATAGATTCAGGTTCTTTGTTGTTTTCCCACAGTTACTCAGGGTGACAACTGCACTCTACACACTAGAACAATAACTTGTCACCACTAGATTCTACCGGTGTTTGAAGAATGGTTTTATTTATTGTTTAGTCTGAGCTTTAACATCTTTAAAAATATCTCCCTATTCCATTAAATAATTACAAACTACCTTAAATGCTTTGAAAAATCAGGTTTATTCTCAATAGATGTTGCATATTAACATCCCCAAGATATTTTATGAACTATATTAAAAAAAAGAATGCCTTTATAGGTGTACAATAGTTTTAATCCTTGGCATTATTGGATCATTAATTAAAGTCGTGCTTTTTTTTTTTTACAGTCAGCCATTGAGAAATTAACCTATGATTACCTAAACTTGTTCCACTTCCCACCACTAATTAAGGTAAGTAAGGTATTTTCTTACTGAAAATATGCTACTTTTATTGACATATGCACCTGCCACATCCACACCTAGATTTGCCAGTGTCGGAAACTATTGTTTGAAGTGAAATTTAATTGTATCTGTCCAACAAAAGACCCTTTGAGTGAAGCTTGGGATGGACATAAACTGAACACCCTTCTTCCTTCAAGTTGAAATATTAACAACACATTTATGATCAATGTTAACATATTAAAAATATTAACAGCAAATGTCACGTGAGTGGCTAGGGGATAGAAGTGTAAGATGCAGGTGAGGATCTCTGGTCTCCCACCTGGCTCTGGAGACCTTTGTCCAACAGGGAACTCACTGCAGGAATTTACACAGTAGAATGGTGGAATATCACTTACATGGGGGGCGGGGTGCCGACGACCAGCCTCAGCAAAATGTTGTGTCAGGAGTCCCTGAAAGGTTGAGAAGGCCTAGGTGAAACTTTAAGGGCTGAAGGGAAGGGGATGAGGTAGTGAGGAGACACTGACACTCATTGAGGTGCAAGTATCTTCTACTGAGGGACTCAGCAGGTCTTTATTTATTCATTTTTTGCAAGCAGTGAAATGACATCATCATATGCATGGAAGCAAAGCAGAAACAATCGGTGCAATCTTTTCCCATAGACTTTTGGCTGCTACGTGCTCTCAGCAAGAATGCAACCTTCAAGGTTATAGATAAAAAACTAAGCCTTACACTAAAACTCATTATTTCAGCTAGACAATTACCTAAGACCGTTGATAGCCGTCGTACACTCCTATCAACTAAAGCCTAAGCATCCAAAGACTCTTCTATTCACATGGCCTTCAGCTGGAGACCAGCTGCTTTTTGGTTATCAGCTAACAGGGTTTTCTACCTAGAAATTTCTTAACACAATTAACTTCATTTAAAAATTTCCCTTAAAAAAATAAATAAATAAATAAAAATTTCCCTAAGAAACTTCTATAAAAGCAAAAGAAGGACTTACTATAAATGTTGTCCTGGATTGCTTGTCAGGCATGTTCATATATAAAAAATTCTTTCCCATTGTCAGGCAGGCCAAATTTACAGTGTTTAATTTTTAAGCAGGTATTTCTTTGTGCCATTTACTTACAGTATTCTATACATATAATTTATTGCCTAATGTACTTTCCGAGAAGTTTTTTCTTATGTGACCAAGAACAAAAAACAAAGGGATGCTTATAGGTTATAGATTAATCTTCAGCCCCACGGTGTGAGGCTCTTTGGAAATCTTCGGCCCCACAGTGTGAGGCCCTTTTTCTTCAGCCCCACGGTGTGAGGCTCTTTGAACTTTGGTGGCATGGTGTGAGGCCCTTTTTCTTAGCTGCTTGCCAGTATCTTACCTGGCTGGGGCAGCAAGGCCCCCTGCAGCAGTGGGGGGGGGGGTGGCTTATTGTTAAAATATTAATATATTTGACATATTTTAAATATTCTCTAAAGGCATATGGCATACTGTGTTATAAGATTAGATTGTTACAACTAGTTCACAGAACTCTTCTCATCCACTAACAACTGTGGTTTTCTATCTCTAAGCCCTTCTGGTTCATTTTGTTCTTCTGCTTGGTCTTCCATCCCCATGTGCTGTCTGACTGACTGCACAGTTCCTTTTTGTTAATAGCTTGTAAATATCTTGGGTGTTATGGACTCTCAAGGTGAAGTGTCATGGTGCATCTGCAAGTACTAAGCACACTTCTAGGTAAAATTGCAAAATGTAAGAGGCATTGTGAAAATTGTAAGACAGTGACATTCAGTTTGTAGAGCATGAGATAAATCATTTGGCAAAGTCCTCTAAGGCATACTATGCAATTTTCCTTGCTTAGGTAATTATAGTTAGTAGCCTAATTCAAAGGACTCAAAAGTTAGATGACAAATAAGAATGAAAAGTTAAGGGGCCTCCCTGGTGGCTCAAGGGGTTAAGACACAACCTTTGAAGCAAGCTTTGCAGCCTCTGCAGCATGTCTTCAATCCCAGCCAGCTAGGGAGCCACCCACATTGCGAACAGGCCTCTCCTGACTCGCCTGCTGCTCCTCTCAGCAGTGTATTTCAGTCAGTCTGCCTGCTCTGTTCCCTGCTCTGTCTCTGATGAATCCTCTCACCCCCCACACCTCTCGCCTGTACACCGGCTCTTATATGCATAAATAAATAAATCTCTTTTTTTAAAAAAAAAAAAAAGAATGAAAAGTTAAAAAAAAAAAAAGCTGAGAAGTAAAAGTACACCCTAGAATAAATGGCACTTGATTTTTTTGTTTCAGGATTCAGGAGGTGAACCTGAGGAAAATGAGGAAAAAACAGTGAACCTTGAACTTGTTTTTGGCTTTCACTTGAAACCAGGAACTGGCCCACAGGTAAATCACATTTAAAGCCTTTGGATAAATTTCCATCTGATTTTCTTTTTCTCTCCTAGAAATTTGTGTTTTTATACACTCCCCCTGCTAATTGTTAACTTGATTCTGAGTAAATTTATAGACTTTATAGGACAGAATTTAGTTGAAAGACTGCCAGCTGCCTCTGTAATCCAATTTAGGATTCATTCAGCAGGAATCTTGTGTGAGACCACCCAAGCCCTCAAGGAAACTCACGGCAAAGGATGCTGGGGCCAGGCAGGCAGGCACAGGGATTGTTTGTGCTGCTCTCTATCACAGCTTCCTGGCTCCTGTTTCTTAAGGGAATGTGTCTTGTGATGTCAAGAGTGAGACAACACTGAGAATGGAGCTGAAGGCAGCATGGCGGCTTGAGTTAATCTGCTCCGTGGAGGGCAGCAGGACATGTGACCAGCACACTTCCAGTCAGGCTTCCATTTTATGTTATTTTTAGAATCTGAAAAAATTGTTTGGCCTGGGTGGCATATGAACTGGAGTCATTATAGGTCTGTGTTACTTTGGATTATCATACATGATCACTTTTATTAACTGAGCACTTTTGTGTCCCAGCTGTACAGCACTGAGGTGAAGATGCTATTTTCCAAATGAGGGAACTGAGGCTCGGAAATTTTGAATAACCTGCCCAAGAGTTACTTGGCCATCAGGTAGCAGGATTAAGATTTAAGCACAGGCCTCTCTCACCCAGAACCACGCTCTTACCTGCTACACTAGTTGCACCTTTCTTTCAAGGCAGCCCAGAGATCTTTAAATGCTACGCCCCACAATCTGTAGCCATCGGTTCTGTAAGATTGGGTGGCTCTTCTGGCCACTGGCCCAGGACTAATTAAACCACACTTACCCCAGACCTTTGCTGCAAGCAGTGCTTGGGAATGACTGGGAACTGTTGCGAGGGTGAGTTTCACATGGGGCTTCAAAGGATGCTCTTTCTAGACACCTGATGGAGAAGCTCCCTGGCACTGCTGCAACTATATGGATGCATTTTTTGAGTGGAAATCTTCACCTCCCTTGTTTTGGCCACAGAACTCAGCTGAGCGGAAGTGGCCCTCACCAGGTTTCTTGTACAAGAATACTTCCTTCTCCCTCTGTGAATACGTCACTGTCTATTCATTCCTGTTAGAAGCAGCAACAGAAACAGGGGCAGAAGAGTATGTTCTTCTCTCTCCAACAACAACCAGGGCCTTTGCACCCTGAGAGTCTGTAACTGTGGCTTCCTCCCCCCACCATCACCAAGTCCCCGTGAGGGTAAACAAAGTGCACATTTTAATTTGCCTTCTTCAGTACTCTTGACTCTGTGGCACTTAAATTATGAGAGTACTCTGTGTTTAAACCTTTTTATGGCTTGTAGGTGGTAAAAAAAAGAAGGAAACAATTACCTTAGAAGAAACTTGTCAAGAGCAGTATCAGCTAAGAAAGTAATTTTCAATCAACAGAAAAATGACTTGTTAATGTGGAAAACTAAAAAAATACATTTTTTGGTAAAAATCAGAAGCTATAAATGATATTGGTGACCAAACACAATGGTCTGCTTTTGACCATAATTGTGTATGTTTCTTGAGTGATAGGATATCCACCAGGCCCAAGATCGCCACAACTTTTTGATGGTTTGCCGCTCCTGGTCACCCTGCACAATTAATTTCAGCCATGTACTAGCAGACTTACTGTTTCTGGCTCTGTGCTGGATACTCAGAATACAAATTTAGAAAGTACAGCTTCACCTTGCAAGGATCTTGTAGCTTATGGGAAGAAATAGATAAGGTCAATGAATGGTTGTGAAACAGACTGATGGATTTTGTTCTTTAAACATCATGTACATCAATGGAGCACACTGGATGGATGGTAAAAGCAGAAGCAGAAAGGGGGCAGAGGAGGATCTTGAGGTCTTGGTAGAAGTGATGCTTTCAATTTATTGGTATATCTTTTTCAAATATCTTGCAGACATTCTAAATGAAAACAGCATAATGTTTAAGATTTGTTGAAGCTGAGTGGTGAATATTCAGGTGTCAATATTATTATATATTCATTAATTCTTTTGGGTATCTTTAAAATATTTTCATATTAAAAATTTTTAAATAGCAATGTTTAGAAAAGTGGTACTTAAACTAAAATTTGAAAACCATTAGAAATTATTAGGTAGGGAGAAGCCCTTGAAGGCAAAACAAATAGCATATGTAAAAGTTCAGAAGCAAGAAGCCAGGAAAAAGGGAGCTCTTGTTGAGGCTAATTTCTAGGGGACCTCACAACTCAACTGGAGCACCGCAGGCTTGGGGCACCTTAGTGCAGAGAAGGAGGAGTGGTGTAGTGGGAGTTAGGGCCAGAGGTGGCGGCAACCAGGAAAGGGGCTATTGTCTGTGCTAAGTGACAAGTTTAGAGTTTTAAGCAGGGAGTGAATAGGATCAGGTTTATGTTTGTAAAAGATATCTTGAAACACAGAGGAAGAATTGGAAAGGGGCCAGGCTAGCGTGGAAAGGACCTGTCAGTGAGCAGTGCAATCAGGGGAAGGGGACAAAGAGCGGAGGCCGCAGCAGTGACCTAGATGCATGCGAGTCCATGCACACTGAGGGAACTGAGCCCGCGGTGTCACTCACCCGGATGGAGTGAGACAGAGAAGGCTGGGTGTTGTGTGAGGTTCCTGGTGTGGGCAGCTTGGCCGATGATGGTCTAACGTAATAGATCAAAATGTGAAATATACACTGTGAATTTAAGAGAAAGGTGCCCAAAGTACAAGAAATGACTGGAAAGGGTGAAGTTCATCAGGAAAAGCTTTTTTAGAGGGATGAGCTTTGAAATGGGGCTTGAAGAGGTTCATGGTCATTTGCAAATAGTTTCTGAATCTAGTGTTTAAAGCTTATACTTAGAGAGTACTTCTTTCTAAAGAGCTCACGTTATTTCATAAATGTCATCTCATTTATCCCCTTGGCATTTCTGTGAGAAGCACAAGGCATAGTGTTGTCATCCCTGATTAGGAAACAGCACGAGAAAGTGTGTCACCAGCCTCGGGTAAGGCAAGGATGAGCTGAGACCAGAAATTGTGTCTTTGTTATTGCCATGTATTAAACATGTGCCAGCTCTCACACCTGAGCGGGATATTTGAGCCACGTGTAAACTTTCATAAAATAATCCTAGCATAAATTAGTGTCTCGTTCTAAACAGCCCTACCCAGACATGCCATTCTATTTCCAAGCATCTTGAAATATTTTTTCACAAATGTGCTTTAAATTGAAATTCCAATTCCCCACAAGGAAACCCTGTTACCTTGACCCTTAAAGGTAGAACCCTAGAAAAAAATGCATCCCTAACATCCCAATTAACTGAGTTCTCATAAACCCATCTTCATGAAAAAGGCGAAACCTATACCCCTGTCTGCATGATTAGATTAGAATACGTCTTTTGCAAGAGAACACTGAGCTTTGGAAGTTCTCATCAAATCTGACTTTGCATATGAAGGAGATTTGCTTGACCATTTCACCTTTTCTTTTACAAATAAAATGAAAGATGTGGTCTAATGGCAGCCACAGAAATAACATGTGACAATGACTGGATCATGAATATAGTAGCTGTATTTTCCCACTGCCTCTGCAGAGGCCCCCAGGCCAACTACCACTTGGAATTGGCTTGTCACAGTCACTGGTCTACTAGGAGGAAACAATGAAAATATGACTTTATGTGATATATATGTGTGTATATATATATATATATATATATATATATGAATAAACAGAAAAAAAAAGCCTTTTATCAATAAACCTGTCAATCTTTCCTTCTAAGAATTCAGATTAAATTCCTTTTTTTTAAGTTTCATTTTATAACCAAATGGATTATTGGCACAGAAGTGAGGCTGACAGATCTAGCCGAGGGGTGACCTAGCCACTTGCTTCTGTGTGCCTGCTGCAGTGGTCAGGAACCCCAGTAGTCAGGTCCCCTGACACAGCTACCCTGACCAGATGCCACCCCCTTATACACCTAAGGATTTGATGACAAATGAAGGTCAATGGCAGAAATTGGGTCTTTCTCAGAAAAATGTTTCCCATTTCAGGGGCTTGAAGTACTTCTAGTAATGATTATTTCATTCCTCTGCCCAGCACTATGATGAACACTTTACAAACATTTTTTTCGTGTAATTGTTGTTAGCACCCTCTATCACTGGGGTGTTGCCCTCCTCCAGAGGCGAGGTCAAGTTCCATACCCAAAGCCTCATAAGGGCAGATCCAGGGCAAGAGCTCAACTACCATGTTATTCCTTTCTGGGAAGCATCATCATCCCCAAAGTAGGTAGATTGGTAATGAGAAGACAGGGCTGTTTTTAATCAATTAATACTAAATGGCTGATGTTTTTATTTCATTTGAAAAGTGCCTTATATAATCTACAGCTTGTCACTTGGCACAAAGGGACTTCCCTTTATTATGAACATAGTAGCTGAAGAGAGCAGACACAGGCCCCTGGTAAAACCCACACAGCCAGGCACCAGGAAACCTGAGATAAGCAGAATCAGAGATAAAACTGACAACAGTAAACAACTTCAGCAGACCTGCCCCCAGCATAACAGTTCCAGCAAACCCCCTCCAGCAGAAGAGACCCCACACATACACCAAAAATTCCAACAGTAGCCTAACCTTATAAAGACTCTTGGCCTAAAGAGAGTCATCAGAGCCTCCCCGGTGGTGCAGCGGTTGAGCGCTGGGTTATGAAGCTGCCCGCAGCCTCTGCAGCGCCAGTTTGATCCCCGGCCACCCGGCGAGGGTCCTGCATGGCGCGCAGACCTCTCCTGCCGCCCGCTGCTCCCCTCAGCAGTGTACTTCGTCCCTCTGCCTGTTCTGCTCCCTGCTCTGGCTCTGGTGAGTTCTCTCACCCTCCCGCGCTTCTGACTGTATCCAGTGCTTGTATAAATAAATAAATCTTAAAAAAAAAAAAAAAAAGAGAGAGTCATCACCTCACGGACTTTCAGTAAAGCTCACCTCAGTCTGATA